GGCAGAAAAATAAAATTTACCTGCCCACCAGATTTACAACTGATTCTTTCTTATCTTTATCAGCTCCTGTATCGAAATCGTAAACATCGTTGCTGCAAGTTGACGAATACGAGAATTTTAAGAGTCCAGAAGAAAGGAGTAAACACATTTATGATATCAAGATAATGAGCAGTCTGCCAATGGTGGACATCTTAGAGTGTAACAAAATCATATGGAGAAACTCATAACCTGAGCGTCTAGTTACTGATCTTCATTTTTTAGGCCAACACACTTTTCATGCTAAGGATACGATATCTACCCATCTAGGCCGTAGGGTGGCAAGTTATCATGCTAGGGATATAATATCTACAATGTCTCAAGAAAGCTTATATGAACATATGCATTTTGTGAAATGGACTCTGTATGGCCTTTCCACTACATTAACCTGCCATGTAAGTATGCATCCCCAAAACATAGTATGCTTGTGTGGTTGATGCAGGAAAATTTGGTCCATCACAAAAAAACTAACTCATGAAATATAATTTGTCAATTTCAGATCTATGGTCAAGCTTGCTTAGATTCAAGTTATACTCAAACTTACTCTGGGAAATATTTACTATGTATACCTTAGGTTGAGCCATGTGATGATAAGAACCGAGGAAACCAAAAGAACAGAATAATGCCAAGCTGAAAACATGCCTGTCTGCAAATAAGCAGCTGCACTACCTACCTATTTAAGAAAGCAAGTCGGTGAAGATAGTCAGCACGAGGCAAGGAAGTGTATATCATTCAGAGCATATTGAAGAAAGCGAAAAGTGTAATAGAAATGACTGCATTATATTAAAAGCAATGGAAACAAAATTGTATGTCGAAGGTTATACGTGTCTGTAAGAGACTCAAGAGAGAAGGAGCTATGCCACTAAGCACCCCAAGGAGTACTATACTTCAAACTTAAGAGGAAGTGATGAAAGAGAGGACACAATATATTCATGAGTTAAACCTGAAAAATTGTAATTTATGCTCATAGAATGACACATTCTTGTGGAACTGAGTCCCTTATGTGCTGTTATCATACACGTACATGCTCATTGGATGTCTCAGCCACAGAAAAAAGAAAAGAAAAGAAGTTATGATATATACATCCGTTCCAGATAATTCTTAAATGATCTGTTTTCCTTTTTCGCTAGTTCTACGGCTGACAACTGAAAATTTGGATTCACTCCCAAACCAATGTTCAAGAGTTCATCTTCTTTGAATAGGATTTCTTAAGTCACAATATTTTCCCTATATTGATAGGCTTTCCAAATTTTCATGAAGTGTTTCTCAACATCTGCAAGAAGTATTAGACTGGCCTTCTATTTGGCAAACACAGTAAGACTGTATCGATGAATACTATATAAAACAAGAGAAAAAAAGTCAGTATTTATTTACCCTTTTTTCTTTCATAGAAATCCTTCACAAAGAGCACTGGCTATCTTATCAGAATTTGGACTACCAAACAATGAACAAGAGTTCCATTTTCCAATTACGAAATCTATTCACTTTAACTTTATACTGTCCCTTTAGCAGCCAGAATCTCAATGTAGTGCCCTTGATCAAGAATGCATCATATCAATCTGACAATCATGCTCTTTATGAATCTTAGTAGAAACAGAGCTCTATGCATTAAAAGGACTCACAGTGAGAGGAACCAATGCAACGGAGTATATTGGTAACTTTATTGCCCTCCATATCAAGGTTGCTTTAGAAATATCCTCTTCTTTATTCTCTTCACGGATAGTGTTAGAATAGTCCGCCTTATTGTTGACAAAAGCCTGTCCATAATATTGCCACTGTCTGGCCTCTAATTCTCTTCTACAAACCCTATGGAAAACTCTTTGAGCATTACAGGAGAAACAGGATAATCTTCCATAGCCTCCATAAGACCTGAGATATGAGAAATGTCAGTAATTGGATAACGGGGTAACATCAGACACGTCAGCGATTCGTATTACATCCAAATTAAGCTGAATTGCTATTTGCAGTTAGGTTCAAAAGAAACTAATAAGCAAATTATAATATCAACTTCTTAAAGACAAAAATCTTAACCACATAGCAAGAAAAAGGGAAAACAGATTCACAAAAAGCTCATTATCTTTTCATCCAGACTAAGAAATCACAAAAACCAAGCACCCAAATTGAAGAAAATTAATTATATTGGAACTTGCCTTTTGGAGACTATCTGCTTCAGGTGGTACTCATTTAGTTTTGTCAGACCAGACCCAGTGTTAAGATTGCAGAATGTGGTTGCCATCTGTTATCTACAATCAAGGGAAAGATAATTGTAATTCTTATACAAACATATGTATATGACTAAATCATCAAAATAACCCAAAGCAGCCTACAAATACATCAAACTGACTAGTGCAAGCTTAGACTTTGGTGTTCTGTATTCCAAGAAGAGAATTTGAAGCCAACCCACAACCCCATTCAAGCCTTTTCACTTAAAACTAGTTTTAAAAAAAGCATAGATTAGAGCTGGAACACTAAAAAAATGTAAGCAAACGTTCTCCTATAAAATAGTTTAAAACATAGAAAA